GGACGCGACGGGGTTCTACACCTGCGCCGCCGCCAACACAGAGGGCGCGAGGACTTCCAACTCGCTGCAGATGGACGTCAAGTGTGAGTGTTTTTTAATTATTGGCACGAGTGGCTGTGTGCGTGTGTGCGTCATATGTACTAATTGTATATCTCGTTACTTCTGCCTTTCTCTTTTCACTCCATTTCTGTCTGTCTGTCTGTCTCTTTCTCTTTCTCTCTCTTTCTCTCTCTCTCTCTCTCTCTCTCTCTGTTTTATAGAAAACAAAATCGGAATGTTCTCCGAACATTATACAAGATGATAAAGTAGAAGCAAGAGTGCGAAGATGCAGCCCCCGTCACCCCAGACCCCCCCCCCCCCATCCAACTCCCATCCGACCCCCTTCCCTTCCCCCGCTCTTGACCAATCCTCCTACCAATCTTTATCTTTCGCATCTCCTCCCCCCATCAGAATGCCTTCTACCTCCACCCAGAATCCCCCTCCACACTCTCCCTGTCTGCTGTGCCCGTAACCAGTGACCCTCCCAGTTCCCTTCCCCTCCCGCCCCCCTCCCTTCTCTCCCCGACCGCAGCGAGCAAGCAGGCGCGCGCCCTTGCTGACTCGCCAGCCTCCCCGAGGACCAGAACACCTAAGCAGTCCTTGAACAGCAAGAAAAACAATCAGAATCAATTATTCAATCTTAATCGCCAGTGGAGTGATGCAACTCATCACCAGGTGCCAGGATCCCCCCTCCCACTGCACCTTCAGCTCCAGTAGTGTCGACGGTTGCGATTAACAACCATGTAGAGAGAACAGAAGATACTGAAGATGAAGGTTTCATCACAGTCGTTTCAAAGAAACAAAGGAGAGAATCAAGAGAGGAACGACAAACGCCAAAACCTTTAACAGGAGCTGATCCGCCCGAGGCAGTGTACCTGTACATCACTAGCTGTCATCCAGACACTAATGAAGAAGATATCGAAAAACACCTCTAGGAGAGTGTAAGAGCTCACAAGACAACGATGAGCCACAACTACTGCACTAGCTTCACGGTAACTGTGCGAGGCCGAGAAATAAAGCCTGAACTATTCTTAGACTTACCACGGAATGTCAAAGTGTTCCTACACAGAAATAAGTACAACCGTGATCAGAGGGTTTGGCAAGACACCGCCGTTAGCAAGACCGACGGTCAGATCACACATGCTAAAATTAGATGACATTAATGCACAATCTCCCCTTTGACAGAAATGATCATAATGGAGAGAAACCTTGATATATTGTGTGTAAGTGAAATATGGCTTTCATCAAACTACCAAATTCAAATGTTTATAAATGCGATGCAGGACGTAGAGGAGGAGTCTGCATGTATGTACGAGATACTCTCAAAACAAATGAGATGTCCGCTACAAAAGCAAAGAGTGCAGATGTAGAGGATATTTAGGTTAACGTACAATGCAATATGTTTCCGTCATTCATTATAGGCGCATAGAGCTTTAGAGAAATGTTACTTAAAAAGAAACCTCTTTTCATCCTGGGTGATTTAAATGATGTTTAAATAAGCCTACTGTAAAATTATTTAAGATAATTAGGAAAAACAAATTAGAACAAATAGTCAACAAACTTACAAAGGTCACAGAAAACACTTCGTCAGTAATTGGTGTCATAATAACAAACAGAGCTGACCTCATTCTCCACGTTGTCCCATGCCATGTTGCCGATCATGGACTCATAGTGGTGACACTTAATTTATGAAAATCAAAACAACCACCAATCAAAAAGTTTCAGAGAATTAACCAACTACGACTCTCAGTCATCATGCCAATAAATAATTGACAAGGAATCAACCCTTTTTGACATTTTTCAAACAGATAATTTAGACAAACAGGTAAATGTCTTTACGGAAGTGATTAATGGCAGCATAGACGCCATCGCTCCATTTGTTATTAAAACTGTTAGACGTCCTCCTGCTCCATGGATAAACAACGACATCAAGAGAGCAATAACAGATAGAAATAGCGTCCATAAAGCTCTCAAAAATGACAGACACAAAATGGAACTTCAGGAAAATTACAAACAATAAAAGATAAATGTCAAATCACTTGTACAAGGAGCCAAAACTGTTTATTTTAGAAATAAATTGACAAATTGTAAAAAAAAAAAAAAAAAAACTGCTGCGAAAATAACGCTTGATAACGTAAATAAGTATGACCACATTACCCCACACAAAAACAAACTAAACTGTATAAAAGTATAAGACAAATGTAACTATGACACTTGCGTACTAATTCACAAAATATTCCAAGGGTTTTATCCAAAGTGGCAATTAACCCTTCCAACTGTAGGAACACAACCTGAGTTCAAACAAGACAACTCTCTACACATCAAAAGATCACGTACAGATATAAGGGCACGGCAGACATTGACACGTGGAGTTATATGTACTGTCATTAATTATATGTGTATCTTATTTAAACATGTATTGCAAAATCACTTTCTCTATGATAGGAATAATCAGTGTATT